TGTGGCCTCTCCCGTTGCGGAGCACAGGCTCCGGACGTGCAGGCTCAGCGGCCATGGCTCATGGGCCCAGCCGCTCCGCGGCATGCGGGATCTTCCCAGACCGGGGCACGAACCCACGTCCCTTGCGTCAGCAGGCAGACTCTCAGCCACTGCGCCACCAGGGAGGCCCGGGACATTTTCTGTCTCAGTTTTGGCTGAGGTCGAATGGGTGAGGACAATATAACAGGTGCCTAGTACCCTTACCCCAATTCTAAAAGTGAGTCAGGACACTCAGGGAGCCATGCCACAGAGGCCGTGGCAATGGCTAAGCCCAGGGCCCCTGCTGCCCCAGCTGACCCCGTAGGTATTGAACACTCGCCCTGAAATCTCACTTGCCTGGCTGCTCTCGGCCAGTGACTGAGCCCAGCTGATGCCGTGCATGCCCTTTCCTGCAGAACATGTGGCTCACATAACGGGCATTTTTGGCTGGAGCACACTCCTTGGACCAGCCGAAACTTTCTTAGACCTGCACTAGAGCCCCGTGGCAATTGCTTTGCAAAAGGTTGTTGGAGTGACCGGGCGGCCCCTCTTCTTCGGCATCTGCAGCGTGAGGGGGCGGCCCCGTTCACCCTTAGTGAAGCCGAGAGAGGGGAGTGTCAGAGGGTCTATGGCAGAATTTTATGTGTGGCCAAGACCCGGTGACTTAAGGACAACGATGGTCTAGGCTGGGGACATCTCAAAAGGGGGAGCGACACCAGCAGAGGGTTAGGCCAAGGTCTGGAGCATGGAAGCTGGACAGCGCCCGTCGGGAGGCTGCACAGAGGGTTCCTGCTCCGGCACACGAGACTAGGGTGTTTAAGGCCCTGGCTGCACTGCCCTTGCCCTTCCTGCTGCTGCTGGGTGGCCACCGACCAAGATATCATTTCTTGACTCCCCTCCTCTCCTCTGGCTGCTCTTTGCTGCCTTTCCTGGTGCCCAGGCTGGGGGCCATGTGCTCCCCTTCACAGCACTGACCACACTGGGCTGTTCCTGGCTGTGTCCGCAGCTAGGGCGGCAGTGGCTCTGATGGGCTCTGTGAGCTAAGACCCCGAGCAGCCTGGGGCTTCCCCAAGGATTCAGGGAAAGGACCGCGGGAGGGTGGTGAGCACCTGACATCGGCTGTCTTCTCTGCAGACGTCACTTTTATGAGGCACCGGAGCTCAATCCAAGAGCAAACTGCAGAGCCCGAGTGGCAGAAAGCAGCAGTGGCGCAGAGGAAACAGGTGTGGCCCGGGAGCCGGAGAACTCTGCTTCTGCCACCAGCACATTGGTGACCCCTAACGCATGGATGCACGTGGCACACATCACTGCGAGCGCCTTTCCTCACCTGTGAAATGAGAGGTCTGGAATCGCTTGTAATGACCTTGGAGCGCTAAAGTGCTACAAAGGAAATTATTGACCTGGTCTCCTCTAGCCTTTCGGTTCTAAGAGTCCTGGGGGAAGTGGGATCCAGCTGGAGCTGTGATTGAAAAGTGGGAGAACAGTGAGGGCTCGGGTCCATAGCTTTAGGCCAGGCACCCCTGGACCCCGCCCGGCCCTGGTACTCATGAGTTGTGCTCTCAGCCTCCGTGTCCTTGTATGTGGAGAGGGGATAACGAAGTTCACCTCGCAGAGGCATCCTGAGGTATAAAGCCTGAGGAGCGTGTGCAAGGCACAGAGCCCTCGGCCGGCGCAGGGCTGCTCTATCTCGAGTGCTGTTGCTGGCACTGTGCTCTGTGTGGCGAGATGGCTCTGTGGGACTCTGCCCTGGTGTTCACCTAGAGCGGTCAGGCCCCTGGAGATGTCCTTGGTCCTGACAAATTCCAGAGCCCCAAGAGGCCCCAAGTGGGGTCGGGGGGTGGCTTCATGCCTGAGCCACTGCCACCCACCTTGTCACGTCCTCTTAAGAAAGCAAGGCCTGCAGCCACCCAAGTAAGGCTCTGGAGTTGCTCGCCAGCGAGCGTCCGGATCTTGCTGGGGAGAGAGTAAACAGGCGGCGAGTTCTCTGTCGCCTCACGCGAGAAACAGGCCAAGGAGATTCAGAGGATCCTGGGATTAGCAACTGGAGGCAGAGCCTGGGACCTGTGCTCATGCTCCTTCCACCGGCCCGTCCATGCCCCCGCCATGTCCTTTTCTGGATTCTGGGTTACTTGGTACCCACGGTTGCCTGTCCCCCCTCCATTATAACTCCTACCAACTGTGCTATAATTGCTTGTCTGTTCCCCCTTCTAGTGGGGGACTCCTGGAAAGCAGGGGCTTTATCGGGTTCACTTCTGTCTCTAGCACATGGCACAGGGCCTGGCACACCGTAGATCCTCATTACATTTTCATCAAATAAATGAATGAATGCATATTACATCAGTTTCTTCCTTTCCCATGCACACTCTTCATAAACTCAAAAACTCAAAACCGTGCCAGTTGTCACTAGCCATACCACATATATCAGCTAGGGTTAAGTTTGGCTGTGATATACATGCAACTTAAAAGTTGCTTAAATAAGAAAGTTTTTTTCACGTTCATGTCTACAGATACACTAAACAGGACCGGTAAGGTGGTTCATAATTTTTTAAGAGACCTCAACTCCTTTTTTCTTGCTGTGCTACCATCTTCCATCTCATTGTTTAAAATGGAATTCCAGCCATTGCCTCTGTATTCCAACCATTGCCTCTATATTCCAGTGTACATTTCCTGGAAATGGCACACAACACTGCTGCTAATATCCTGTTGCCCAGAACTTAGTCATGTGATCGCACCTAGCTACAGGGAAAGACAGGAAATGTTATCATTATTTGGGGTGGCCTGTGCCCTGTCAAGATTCTGGCTTTTTTACTCATTAACAGAGAAGAATGGATGCTGGGGGGACCTTAGGAGTCCCAACCATGCCACACTTTATAGTCTAAATGGCACACCCTTCTCTTACTATCTTCACCTACTAGCCCTGCGTGGTACTTGGGAATAAGAGGAATTATCCCCACTTCACAACTGAAGGAACAGAGGCTCTGAGAAGCAAGTTATCCCAGACCACAGAGTGAGTTATGGCAGGGCTGAGATGGGCACCGAAGGTTGCCAGCTACAAGGTTAGTGCACTTTCCTCTTCATCATCTTGCCCCAGGGCTTCTTGGAAATGGTAGAGCTTGGGCTCCTTCCTCACAGTTCCCTCAAGAAACATCCAGCAGACACCTGCTGTGTGTGCAGAAAGCACCGGATACTCAGAGAGAAACCAGATCCAATCCCTCTTGAGGACCTCATGGTCTGTCTTTACACAAGTCTTAGAATATACTGTGATGACTGGAGGGTTGCTAGCACAGACAGCTCTCTGACCCCAGATCCCGGGAAGCCAATCCTTCAAGGTGTGTGACATTCCATTTCAGGTTCTTTCAGCCTCCAATTTTCTGTCTGGAACCAGAGATGGGGTTAGAGAATTAGGGCTGAGTTCAAACCTCAGACAAAGGACACTGGTGTTTATGTTTGATGGGATGTGGTAAAACAGCTAAAAGTGTAGGCTCGGAGATCAGAAAGCGTTACTTCTCTTTTCATGGAAAGCAAGTTACAGCCCTATTTTTCATGTGAGAAAACTGAGGCTCAGCGAGTTCCAGCCTCTGTCCAAGGCAAGTGTGTGTTGGAGCGAGACTTGAGTGCAGTCTCCTGATGTCTAAGCTGGACCTCCTCCTGCACTGGGCTTTGGGAGGCTTTCCAGAACACTCCCACTGCTCCAAACCATGGCTGGGGCCCACTACCTGCCAGGCTAGACCAGGCCCCCCCACCTGGATTTTATTCTGCAGCTAGAAGCCTGATTACCTGTAAGGAGCTGTCGGCATCGTGTCTCAACAACTGGAGAGAGGGAGTCTCACCAAGGGAGAGATTTGCCCCTTGTAAGGTGTGTAATGCTTGCTCTGTTAGACTCCATTGCAGGAAGCCAAGACTCTGCTCTGGCTAGTCTGTGGCACTCATGCCTCCTCTCCTTTCTCTGCAGAAATTATCTCTGGAAGTTCACCCACTTCTGTAGGTCTCCTGGCTCCTCTGTATCCTGATAGCATCAAATGGGATGGGAAAAAAATTGCCTTTGTATCATGCAGCAAATTGAGGTATACCATATCTCAGTGGCCTCACCAAGCTTGTTAGGTTTCAGGAAAACCAACTGGCTTGTCTTAGGATGGCTTTCTAAGCAGTCACTGACCCCAGTTAGGCATTGATCAATAATGATCAATAACTGATCAATCAATCGATCATCAATTAGTTTTTGTTTTTTAAAAATATTTATTTATTTATTTATTTAATTTTGGCTGCATTGGGTCTTCATTTCTGCACGCGGGCTTTTCTCTAGTTGCGGTGAGCGGGGGCTACTCTTCATTGTGGTGCACGGGCTTCTCATTGAGGTGGCTTCTCTTGTTGCGGGTTTCAGTAGTTGTGGCTCACAGGCTTAGTTGCTCCGTGGCATGTGGGATCTTCTCGGACCAGGGCTCGAACACCTGT